AACACAATGCACAAATTGTTGCATTTTCATAAACAGAACTAGATTTGTGTTTCATTTTCAGAGGGCCTCATGATAACACTTAAGGTCAAGGTCTAACCAGCACAACTGTATATGGTATATACATACACAAACATATTTAACCCCCACACACAGTGTAGCTCTTTGATGCTCAGATGCACAAACATCTTAAGTTTTCATCAGAGACTTGAAAGCAGTTGAATACAGAAACATGTACATTTTGCATGTTGCTGCGCCAGGAGCCATGGAGACGAGACGGAAATAGATACTGGCACTTGGGAAAAAGCAAACATTAGCGGAGCTGAGAAAACGAAGCTTGATGTATGCACGGACATGACGTGCCTGTGCCAAGGAACATGCCTGCTTGCGTAAGACAATGTATATTGAATATCCACTGTACTGTATTCTGTCCCTGAGGCACCCCCCCCCTCTACAGCTCAAATACTCATATATTCACAGCATAGTGGTTCTGCTCCCTTTCACTGCCTAGCTGTGTAGGAGTCAAATTAGAGTGAGCTGATCCGGTGTGGCAGAGCTGTGAAGGCTCGAGTGGAGAAAAGAGCAGAGGAGGAAGAAGTGTAAGGGAAACACAGGAAAGATGGTGGGGCGAAACAGAAAGAGAAGGGGAGCAAGGGTGAGGAGTAGGAGAAGTGGACTCTGTTAATGGATGGAGGATATTACATGGGGGGCATAATGAGAGGGAGGGGCAGCTTAATGAGGGGGTGATTGAGGCTGCATGGCAAAGCTAAGGGGTATATGGAGCACAGGCTCTATTACAGAGGGGAGTTGGGGACATCATAATCCCTATGGTCTTATAAGTAATTACTATGTGATAGAGAGAGAGAATGGTAAGACCTATCTACTGTCAGCAGAATTGGAATTAACTCCCTAACGGCTTTGCTCACCGCACCATGCTTTTATGTTTGCGTGTGTGTGTGTGTGTGCTGCCTGTTCTCCTGCCCTTTTAAGATCTGAGTGGTTGACTTTCAGAGTGAGAGCATTTCTGCATAGTGGCGGCATTTTCCTCTCGGGCTTCGTGCATTTAAGAGTTAGTGTAAAGTTTGGAGGTGTGTTTATGGACAAAGGAATCCTTAGAATACATCTGTGTGTAGATCATAAGACAGCAGGAGGTAGAGTCAGGTGTATTCTGGGCCTTAAACGCAGCAGGCAGGCTGCTTTTATGCACCCGTCCAGGAGATGCAGGCTGCTCAGCTCTGATCTGCTACAAAGACAGTTTTATCGTTAAGAAACAAGAAGATTAACACCCACAATATGTTTCCCTGTGTGTGAAGTTGAAGCAAGACACTGTGACTTTCCGAGCTAAGTGGGATGACCTTATGAAAATAAAGTTTATTACCCTTTGTGTTATTAGTTATAGCCGATCTAGACAGGTCTATTTTTGGACGAAGTCACGCAGTAGTCTCAAAACCCTGCACTTGATCTCTCTTTACACACATGAAAATTAGTCCAGCATCTGTATCATATGTTCTGATACATGTTTTTAAAAGCTTGACGACTACCACTACCACTTTGGTGTGACTTCAAGGTTATTTTCTCCCTTGTACTGCAACAATTAGCAAAAGAAAACAAATATCTGTACCGAATATCATCATCATATTGAGAATATTTACTCCGAGAGCTGTTAACTATGAAGCAGGGTTCAGGAGTTCTCTCACACTATGAGTCGGGGTGGGGGGCTTTGTCTCAGGATTACATCAAAGGGTGTAGAGTTAAAGCAGCTTATACCAACGCACATTCAGCAAAAACAGAACATATTATATGAATATATTATTTGTTTATCACTACATGAAGAGACTAGGGATGTAAATGATAATTTATTCATGAACAAACAAACACACACAGTGTCCTGGTTTAAGGAAAGAAGTGTTGCTGTTCAAACAAATACCTAACTTAAAACGGTACCGGTGCCTAAATGGTGCCAGAACTGATACTTTTTTCTTTAAAACATACAGTTAATGATAAGAAAGGTTCTGCTAAGGCAAATTGGAATTTGAAATTTGACATATTAACTCTTAACAGTTTAAAGTATACTTAACTTTAATATACAAAACTCTCAACAAATTCACACAACAAAATCAGATAATAAATAAAACCCAACCCAACTACTATAATCTATAAATAACAGTTTAAATACTTAATACAGCAAAATACTGCAATAGTTCCAAACTAGTCATCGATCAACTGTTTAGCTTTAGGCATTGTGTTGTTCTGGCAACTCGAGTTTGAGGTAGCTTGGGGGCTAACATTAGGGGCTGCCAGAGTTACGTAGAGTGTGTGTTGCATCCAGAGTTAAATATAATGTTAACTAGGCACATGCAGCGATGTTTATGTTGGGGCAACTGTTTCAGTATAGGTCAGCCAGCGAAATGAGACACCAAAATCTGCATTGTGTAGGATTACGGCACACAACCGGCACATTGCTTATTCAGTTTATTTTCATTGTAGGCCCACAAGCTGCTTTTTGCCTACCACTACCATATGGAAGACAATATGCAAACAGTGCTCCTTATTTAGCATACAAGATATGTATGTAATCCACCATTCTGTGGTATGAAACAATACAACACATCTGCCACCAGTCGTCAATCAAACGGTTACTGCTGTCATTTTAAAATCTTAAAATGTCAGTCGCCTTGTCAGAGGGAGATGGGCCGTCACCCCAGCAGCGCTGACTGACAGATAGGCACATCAGATTTAAACTTCCTCCCTACTTTGACAGGAAGGAGCTCCATCTTCGGCGTGCCTTCCGAGCAAATGAGCAGGCTAGTGTTACACTAGGGCCGGCATCGAACATCGATTTAACATAACCACTGCACAATATGCATAGCATGTGACTTTAATTGGTATTTATGAGTGTGTGGAAGGAAATAATCAATTATTACAAGAACGGATGAGGGCAGGAAGTAGAGATGAGCCAGGGCGAGTGCGAAGGATAGCATGGGGAGAGGAGGTGAAGAAGCGAGGCTCTTCATCTAGAGGAAAATTAATGACACCACTGTACCTTCAGGCTGGAGTCCCAGGCAGGAGACCCTGGATGATTTCTCTGTGCTCCAGTTACCTATGAAGTCAAAGAAGACAACAGTAAAACTATATCCTGCACTTCTGCACCTCTAGAACATAATTTAGCTTCTTTTAGCTCATTGTTTCAGATTGGCGGTCTGTAATTTTACCCCAGTTCTTTTGAAATCAAACAAAATGTGTCCAAAGCACTGTATGTCAAAACCTGTCAAGTAAAGCTGCCATGAAGTGTTTCCTCAGATTTTATATTATTTACTTATACTTCAGAACCAGTTTTTATTTCAATCACAGTTTTGCCAGTTCAGGACTATTTCATTTTGTCTGTCTGGCCTCTACGGCTGCTGTCTAGGACAAAAAGTGTGAATATTTTTCGGTCAAATATGAGAGGTATATATTTGGAGTATTGGATTACAGCAATAGCTTCCTGAAAAAAAACGAATCAAAAAAACTGATAAATCCCCTGTGCTACTATTACACAGCACTGAACAACAGCAACAGGCTAAATCAATAATGTCAAACATCTAGTCAATGTTTTTCTTTTCCTTAGAAGTCAGCAGAGACCAACAGAGCACAAATATTTGACTTATAACCAGGTAGTCACAATCATAACTCAGCTGTTAATTATAAAACTGCATTTAATTGAAATTCTATGCAAAACGTTAGCTCACTTTACCAAATATCACTGACACATTGTTCCACCCAAACAACAGTTTGGACATTGAGGAAAGTTTAGCTGATGTGGACCACTGAAGCACTTATATTGCTGTGTCATTGTAAGTTGAGAGTTTTCAAACTTTTGAGGAAAGAGTGAATGTAGAAGAAAGTGACATTCCCCCCCAGGGAGAAGCCAAGAAAAAAGAAATGTCATTCCTGCTCCTGTACATCTGTGCCCGGCCTGAACCTAGACAGACTGAAGACAGACTGGTGCATACAAAGTAAGTGACCTTTCAGATAAGGCCTGGATGGTCTTTATAGTCACTGTCATTAATGTCATGGGGACTGTAACAATAGATCCATCATCATCAATCACTATGCCATGGGCTAGGGAAGGAGTTTAAAAACCTTTTCAACAATGACAAATGATATCAACAATCCACAAATATTCAAACGTGAGCTTTCTGAGGAAGAACAAATTCAAAGTATTCTATTTCTAGTCCTGCAATTAACCCTGCCTACAAAAAGATTATTATGCGTTATTTACTTCAAGGTGCTGTTAAAATGTGTAGTTTTGTCTTGATAAATGTTCATAATATTTTGCCAACTCCATTTATATCAATATCGACATGTAGTTTTAGCTAAAAAACACATTGTTATCATAAGATATTGTTAATTAGAGGCCAACCAATTTATCATGGTGTGACTCTGACTATAGAATCCTTTAGCTGACATTGTATTGGGGTTTCTTAGTTTGTAACTTTTATTCCACAGATTGAACAATGCAGAAAAGATGTGCATTTATATTAACATTAACAAGTTCCTTTTATGTTTCCTTATTTCTAGTTATTAATAATACATTTTAAAATATAAAACATCAATTACATTTCTTTGTTGTTAGGTTTTGATTAACAGTGATACACCATTCATGTTTGACATGAGGGATCCCTCACTTGTGACCATCCCTGAGGTTTCAGTGTTAATTGTGGTTTCTCTCCATAGTTTTTCTGTACTAATGTTGAGGGACAGGACACAGTCTGACAAAACTTCAACAGATTGCTGAGGTAAACAGTGTTTTGTGGTTATGGGGTTAGGAAATGTTTTACTCCCTAATATTGGTATTGCTCCTGAAAATCCCTGCCAGTCTCTATTGCTAACATCTTTAATTAATCACCATTCTAACACGTTCATCTTCAGACCACATTGGAGGTAATATTACATGATTACATGGATAATATTTTTTTATCTGGCTGCTCCCAGGTCATGGATCGTGGTTGCCACTACTGCCATTGCCCTGCCTGACATCCACTCTTGTTATTATTATTATTATTCATAATTCTGTGATTAATATTAACTTGTATACTATTGTAGCATTGTTATAACCCACCACTATAGATATTACCACCACTGCTAACCACTGCTACTGTCATCATTGTCTTTCATTGTAATTGTACAATATGTTTCTGTTGCTTTGTTCTGTACACGTGACATCCGTTGCACGTCTGTCCGTCCTGGGAGAGGGATCCCTCCTCTGTGGCTCTCCCTGAGGTTTCTTCCACCTTCTTTTCCCTGTTCAAAGGGTTTTTTTGTGGGCAAGTTGTTCCTCACTCGAGCCGAGGGTCTAAGGACAGAGGGTGTCACTCCCTGTACAGATTGTAAAGCCCTCTGAGGCAAACTGTGTTTTGTGAATTTGGGCTGTACAAATAAAATTGGATTTGATTTGATTTGATTTGAATATACAATGGACACTTCAAGGTAGTCAATTGTCATACAAGGTCAAATTTAAAAAGTGTTGTTTATATTGTATAATAATCCTGTAAAGGCTTGGGCACATGTTTTAATGAAGACCACAGTTAGCAATGACAAAAACACTTTTACTAGTAGCCCACAATAACACAGCCGTAGCTTGACTGTGTCTCAACAACGAGCTGAAGTTGGAGAACAACACATTTACTTTCTATTACTATGCAGCCTCGTGTAACGAGTAACGAAATACAGCTAGCTCGAGTACGAGCTTTACTTTTAAGCTGAACCAGGAGTCGTGAAAACCGCAGAGCCGCACACCAGCACCAACCTCCCGTCTCCAGCCACTTACTTTCCCCGGTCCTGTCGCCCCCGCTCTCGGCGTGCGCCGCTTCGTCTTCCCCTTCTCCTTTTCTCTGGAGGAAGGATGGAGAGAGGAGAGGAGGTTGAAGCGGATCCGGGGGACGATGGGAGGCGAGGCTCGCCGCGAGGAGCGTCCGCCGCACGTTGAGCCCCCGAGCCGGGGAGAGGAGCTGTGAACACGGCGGGGCTCCTGCTCACAGAGCCTCGTGCATCGCCATGATGTGGGTCACGGATGAAGGATTGTTCTCCGGCTCTTCCTCACACAAGTTACCGTCCATCCCTGCGATGGTACGATCCGGGGAGAGCCTGAGTGTTGTGATAACCTACATTTGGTGAAGAGGAGCCCACTCACACTACTTCATGTATTTATAATAACGATATGTTGTGTGTTGAAGTGGGTGTTTTTCGGTCTCTCGGTGAATTTGAAGTTAAAGTGCCAAGGAGTGTTTTAAAAATTAAACATATCCAAGGAGGAGAGACAGATTTACATTAAATTAGGTTGAAAAATAAAATCTCCATGTACATAATCTTCATCTGATCTACAGAAGAAGAAACAAAGCACATCTGTGTGATCTGGTGTTTTAGAAACCACACCAGGGCCTACACTGCATACATGTAGTATATATACTTAAGAATATGTATAGTGTGTAGATAAACACAATATAAGAATTACATTTTCATCCTAATATTTAATCATTATTATAATCATATTTTAAAAAATGCATTCTTATTTATTTGACAGTGCTCAACACTCAAATATCAAGGAAAAGCACAGGTAGATTCAAGTTAATTACCCAATTTACACCAGCCTGGATCTTGACCACATGACATCCCATCCACACATTATCTATTATCATTTTAGTGGTGGGGGGTTGGAGCCAATCCTAGTTGACATTGTGTGAGAGGTGGGCATTAGTTTGAACTGGTAGCCAGTGTATTACAGAGCCATTATATACCCTTTTTACACCACAATTAGCAGGCATATGTAGGGTTTTTTAAATGTGGATAAAAAGTAAATTGACTCCTTTCCCCTTTTGTTTTCCCCCCGCTGCTTCATGTTTGACGTCACAAGCAAACTGAAAACTAGGACATCCCGCTAAATTGCCGTGTTCTCATGTCAAATTACCATCAATAGCATTCAGACCCACAGGAAATTTAGATTCTCCAATTATCCTGAGCTGCATGTGCTTGGACTGTGGGAGGACTTTAGGAAAACCTACACAGACACAGGGGGAACATGCAAACTCACACACAGAAAGACCCTGGCTGACCGCCAGGTTCAAACCAGAACCTTCTTGCTGTGAGGCGACAGCGCTATAATCAACCCCACATGAAGTAGCCTATCGGTCTAAATGCACCCAAGGGTTAGGCGGCTAGCAGTCATTGGCCAGCAGTGAAGATGAGATCAAATGAAAACCAAGACAACAGCTTTAGGGATGCAAGCGTGAGCTGGACTGAGTGATCTGATCCCGTTGTGGACACTGGTACACATGGTCGTACCAGGTGTAATGTAATCAGGTTAAATGATTATCTGGGCACTATTAGGAGATTAGAAGCATTTTACTGTCAACATCAATAATCGAGGCTGAATTCCAGTTCTGTTCCATTTGGCTCAAAGGGAGACTTGATGAAATAGAGCCTTTGTTAATATGAAAGTATTTTCAATTCCGGATCTGTTACTACTACTTCACACACACACACACTCATGTCCCTGTTATAACTCATTTTGGTTTTATTCATATTGACAAAAACCCCACGTGTCAGATAAGAGACCTGGTTATTCATATCTCTGCATGATTTGTGCACAGCTGTGCGAGCAAATGAACCACAGCATCACAATAGAGGACACAGCCAGCAGTTCAATTTATATTACAATGAGAGTCCCCTTCACAGAGCAAGGCTGTACAATCCTTCCAGCATCAGTACAGTGTGTATAGTAGTGACTTTATTGATCATTCTGAAATAATTAAGTCAGACTGGCAGACTGCCCATGCCTGAAATCACCATGTACCCAGTACAACCTCAGAGCTACTGTCTTCTGAACAGATTGTGCTGCGTTCAGTTACAGCCACCACAGAATGCAGCGATTACATTTCTTGTAAAACTTGAGTTAAGACCAGAATATTTAAGTGTTTTAGCCATATACAGTCTATGGTTTTAGCATTTAAAAGTAAGAGCATGTATAATCTGCATGAACCAATAGCAAGAACTTCGAGGTCAAAGCCAAACAGCAGTGACTCCACTGTTAAGACCAACTAGTGCAAAGCTAATTGTGTTTAGTTTAAAATGATTTCCTTTAATAGCCTGTTTGTTGAAATGGAGAAAGCTGTAGTAGAAATAAGAATTATTTTGTTTGTAAATCTTACTTTCAGGATTCAGTCTACAGAACCCTGGAGCGTCACAAATGCCAAAATAGCTGTTTATTCAAACTTGGTGAAGCTTGATCGGTACACTGAACCCGAACTGGAGAATTGGTTGTCGTTGCTGTTGTCATGATCAACAACGTCACTTACGTTGATGAGTCTCAGCCGCTGCTGCTGCTGTAGAGCACTGGTCCCCTGTATATTCAAAGTTTATTAATATTGAACATATCCCATGACTGAATTCCACCAAATTCAAAACTGCACCTCCTTGGGCCCTTAACAATATACATGCCAAGCGTGAGGTCAATAAGATGAACAAGTCTTAAGATTTTAGCCCCTCATATAGAGAGACAGATTTCTGGCATTATTCGACAGATTATAACTTTGAGATAGTGATGACAATGATTAACAATCTTCCAAAAAAGGTAAAAAGATCATATATATACAGTATATACAAAGTTTGTATGACTTCAAATCCCGCTTCTCAACTTTATTGTCCCTGTAAGTATTGGCCACAATATTTCCCCACACACATCATTCTAAAACCCATAGTCTACACTGTTTCAATTAGGCTGTATGGTTCTGTGTGATCGACAATCCAGCTTTTTTGTTACCGTCAGTGCCTCTAGGAAATCAAGCCCAGCCTATTTTCCTAAAATTGGTCATTTTTTGCCTCCTGTCTGTGCTTCTAAATCCTTGCCCACCCCTCACCCCTTTCCCTTTCTATTTTTTAAGCCATACAGAGGGAATGTGGCCCAGAAATCCAGCTCTGAAGATGGGTACCAACTTGCTGTCAGCACTGCTTTCTGCCCCCCAGGGACCTAGCCTGATTACAGCACCATCATTCTCTCTCTTTTAGTTCCGGACACACACACACACACACAGTTGTGGCGCTGCTCTCTCCATGAACATCTGTACTTTGCAGCTCATTGAGTATGCCTTTTCAACAGCATTATTATTTTCTAAGAGCCACACATTTTCTCGTCTTCTGTCTCTGCTTTTTTCGGGCTCTGAAGTCTCCGAGTCTGAGACGGAGATCAGTGTGCTGATATTGTTGTTGATGACAGTTGGTCAGCCACATAATTGGCTTGTCGACACATCACTCTCTATCACTGATGTTTCATTTGGAGCAGAACATTGGTCTGGAGGAAGAAAATCCGCTGCTACATCTATAATTCAGTTGAGACTCAAACTATCTGCAGCCAGCAGTTTTTACTTGGCAATGCTCACAGCCTACAGCAGTTGTTTGAACCAATTGCAAAACTTTTAACAGAGGAAAACTCATTTGACAGAATATATTAAAACGTCAACTCACCAACTGGTGACCTCTTAATAGACCGTTTTCAGCCATTTTGAAATGCTCTGGTGTTAATAATGACATTAGCAATGTGATCTGTTTACGCACAGAGCCATCATTCATTTGATCAGTAACAGTACTATTTCATTTCAAAATGGCTGCCAGGAAAAATATACATGATGTGTCTTAATTCAGGGGGTGCAATGCTTTAGAGGACGCGGTCTACCCAGCTCACTCATGGACAGCAAAGACCCTAAAAATGAGACCTTATGGTTTACAGAGGCTTTCCCTGATTGCCATCACCAGCTCATCCCACCCTTGTTGCTGTTGCCTAGCAACAGAGCTGAGGTTGGACATGCCGAGAAAGTTTTTATGAATGATACTCAAACATTGAACATCTTGTCGCTTGCTGGTGCCATTACCTCTTTGTAAAACGTTTTGTCACTGAAGCCTTAACATTTTAGGATAGTTGGGCATAGGATGATCCAAACATTGGAGCCTTTGTTTTCCACAGATGGAGGGACATATTTGTCATCTGCATTTGAAGGAGCCTTTAAATAGGACAGTCTAGTTGCACAGTTGTGACACAATTGGTCTTCAAATAAAGCCCCAAAAAGATGCAGCCCCTGAATTGAGGCACAACCAGTTCCAACATTACAACTGATGTCTTTGGCTGATTGGTTCAGTGGTGAGTTGCTGGCTGTCATTTCAGAAGTTAGAAATGGGAAGAGAAAGATGAACTATTTTAATGTATTATTCTCCTAACTATCTGATCCAATTTAATTTCAATTTAAGTTTCAAATGTAACAATATAGCACAACAAAAGAATAAGATCAATGGTTCTCATGGTACTAACCCATTTTACCAAGCAGTAGGAATACTTCTTTGCAGCAGTGTATTTTTTTAGGCTCTTTGTAGGCCATCTAGCCAAATTTCCTATAAAAATAATACATTAAAAACAACTTGTAACCACAGTATCCATACACTCTGCACTTTCAGTTATTTAGAGGCTTCATAATACTTTCTCACACACATGTTTTTAACAGTCCATAACTGTCCACAAGTCCATTAGTCTTTCTACACTCACAAAGGGTCAAGTGATCAACCCCCCTACCACAAAATACAACTGATATGGGCTGATTTTCAGAAGCCCAGAATATACCAAATTATGTCAGTGGTTGTTTACATATGATGCTTTTGTCAGTTTGTTGCATTACACTAGTGTTTTCTATTTTTTTCAGGTATAAGGTCTGCAAAGTTTAAAAATGTTCTGAAGTGTTTTCTCCGCATTGTCATGTCATGGTCCCCATAGCAGCTAGTCTGGCACACCCCCTAACAACACCAGATAGTGCTAGAGCAGAGGGCAACGAGTATTTTCTACATGTGCCAGAACAAGCTGTCCAATCACAACAGAAAGTGCCAGTTGGCCAATCAGACCAGACTGGGCTTTTTTTGCTTTAGAAAGTTTGATAAGAAAAACATAACATTTTCTTGGTCTGTTGTGTGAGCAAAAAAGTGTCTTCCAGGGGTGTAGCAACTTGTCCCTACTTTCAGTCTTTAT